AGAGCCATAGCTTGGATTTAATTAACGTAACCACCGTAAATCTCGGAGGCAATCCAAATAAACAAATAGGGATATTTAACACCCCATTTATTCTCCACAGAATGCTTTGAATGCTCATTTAGAACGAATAATGTAACAATAGGTGAGGTGTTTCTTTGTTACGAATATAAATTAGAATGCGTTACGATTTAGTAAGCCCGAGTTTTAAATAAATTGGATTTGGAAAATGGAATATATCATCTGTTAGGGGTATAATTAGAACCTTTTTATTATTATATATTTTTATAAATACTTGTCCATTTTTAGCATAAACTAGCTGTAACCTGCGGCTTCGCCTACGTGAACTGAGGGCACACTGACCTGCTTTACTGGAATTTTAAGCTAATCTTAATTAAATATCTGCCAGTGAGCGTCCACCTTTATATCGTCATCATTAGCTTATCAGTGTTCCTGCTGCTAGAGCATAGGCATGTGCAATAGATGGATCTACCGGTAACGAACCAGAAAAATCTACCTCTGTTTCTGTGTATAATGCGCATGTCTTTGTGAAAAAGTCCAATTGCTCTTATTTAAAAAAAAAACATCCTTTTATTGAAGTCGTTTAGTAATTTCGTCGTCATTTTGGTTGGATATAGATATTCGACTATTGTGCTTATTCTAAACATTCAGATAACGGCTTTCATTTAAAGGGCTGTTTTAAGCCTGATGCCTTGCTTGTGCAAGATTCTACACCAGATTCTCATAGCAACTTGACGGTCAGCTGTTCTTGGTTACTCAATTCAGTGTTTCAGAGATATTAGTGAGTGACGCCAAATTAGATTTTGCCAATGGATTCTGCCGTCTCTTCAATTTGTAGGTATCGCTTCAATTTGTATCGCTTTTTTCAGTCCACTCAGATATTTTTTTCGCCCGGTTTATTATTTAATACTGATAATTTGAATTTTAGTTGATATGTAGATAAAAAAATATTTCTACCATTAGTAACTCGTTTCAAGTATTTTATCATTTTTCAAAATTAGTACATTTTCGCATCCACAATTTAATTCTCCTTGGTTAAGTATTAAAGTGTCTCATGAATAGTCACCCATTTATTATTTTGTCATAAGGTAAATTTATTATTTTATTATTTATAATTTTGTCATAAGCTCTTAAAAGATAAATTGTTCTCCCGTTTTTGCAACATATTCATTGCTTCTCCACCCCTATTAGTCAAAAGCGAGATATATATAGCCGATAGCCTTCCTAAATAAATGGATTATACAACACAAAAAAAAAAACAATTCGTACCAGTAATTCCCGAGATTATCGAGTTCAAACAAACAAGAAAACTCTTCAGCTTCATTATTAGTGTAGATTTAAATTTAGTGACTATACGTTCAATAGCATCTTCATTAAGTTGATAAAGAACAAATAAATGTGTATTTTGTTCGTATAATTAACGATAATCTGTGTAGAGATATAATAATGCTACAATATCCAAAATACAAGAAACCCTGAAAGGAGAAAAAATAATTGGTTGTTATTGAAATTTCATCAGCCTTTTGCAAGGTACTCGTACAGGTCTTCCTTATAGATGGAGTCGTATAGGGAGAACGCAGATGCAACCAGTGGGCGAATCCTCTAATTTAACATCTGTCACAATCCCTTTCAATAGAACATTTGAAAACTATTTCATATGTAATAATATTTAAAATATGACCGAATGCAATGTTTTTTTTAAGATCTTGAATGAACGATATCATTAATTGGAATTGTATAAAAACCTATTAAGAAACATCAAACGAAAAAGTTGAATATTAATCACAATCTTTCGACGAATTGATATAAGTTTTTTTTTTGTATTCAATGATAATCCACATCAGCATTCGTTCCCAAGGCAATGGCGACTTTAAACGTTACATAGGGAACTATAATATTACTTTGAAATGGATTGCCATAGATTTGAAAATCAGACAATTAGTCCACTGCCCAACGGCTAAATGTGCCTTACGAAGAACGGAAGATCTTTAAATAATACATGTTTGGTAATAACTCATGCTATGACTGCCCTAGCGAGAATTTCTTAATCTCTGCATCGCAGACTAAGCACGTTAAGCACTATGTCAAGAAATTTCTCAACTTTAATATAGGATACAAATACAATTCTTATAAACAAGCCTTATTTACAGTAGAATAGACTGTAATGATGTTATAATATAACAGTACATTATATTAAAGTGAGTCTCGCTTAACGTAGCCGCAACAGCAGAACGATTGTTCTAGAAATAAAGAGACTTACCTCAGGTCTAAGTCGCTGCTAAGTAACTTTGAATTATTACGAAGTTAGAATTCTGGTGGGTAATTTACATAAGCCATTTAAACGCTTGGCATACATATATAATTTAATAGTACGTTTTTAGGAGAAAATATTTCAAACGTTCTTATAACTTGCTTAAAATCACATCTTTGTAACTTATTTGTGCATCAGAAATAACAGCAAGTGCTACCTCCAATTTATCGAAGAATATGATTCTTTAGAGTCGTATCAGCGTTTCGATAATAGACGAAATTTCGGTTTTGCAGAAACAGGGTCAGTTCTTCAGTTCTGGTTATTTTACGAATGACGAAGCGTTTGGTTTATTTAAAATTAGGGTTCGATCGTTGAGCTGTAAAACTTCTACCTCTGAGTTTAAACCCAGAATAAATTTTCCCTTCACGTCATGAATAATGTACTCATTTTACGACTACTCTCATCAATTCAATATAGATCTAGATTATTTGTTAGAAGTGTTCATGAAGGTAACGAAAAAAAACTTGATGAAATCAGCAGGCCAGTGAAACAAACATGTTATAATTCACGGTGTAGATCAATGATATTATTATGTCTAGATACGCAATACATACCAAAAATGTGAATCTATTAAAACTAAGACGTTTGCCTTAGTTTTTTGAATATTGATTTCAATCAATACACATTCAACTCCCGCGGGGAAAGTACAAAAAAATGCTCTGCAAAAACGATTAAATGCATTGGAAAAAATACGTTTTGTCTTTCCCTAATACACATAATATGAAAGAATATTTAGTTTCACGCTTAAATCTTTAACATTTTCAGAAAATAAAAATATTTATTTAACACAAATAAAATATTGACATTTTGTCGTCAATATTGCCACTGCTATTCACTTTCAATTTTCCCAACTGTATGGGAGCCTTTTTTTTTACGTGGATTTAATTTATCTAAATATCTTCTATACAATTTTTAGAACTTAGTACAATTTTTACGATATGGAAGTGCGGAGCGTCCTATCGCAAGCAATTTTTTGCTCAAATGAACGTTTCATATACCGTCAATTTTATGTACTATTCTGTTATCACAATAAACATTTTTTTTTATGATTGATATGGCTTAGTATCGGCGATTTATTATATTTTTTTCATACACACACACACACACAGATGCTAAAGTGGTTTAATTTTTTAAAGTGCCAAGATGCGGTGTTTGTTAGTTTTCAAGACACAACTTTCGGAAAATACGTAAAATTGAACTTTTGTTTGATGTTTTATGAACTTTGACAAATGTTTTTGTCTTAACTCTGACCGGAAAGCAAAGGGATTTGCATACAGCCTACTTTCGTGTTTTCTTTAACAGACAACAATAATGATAAAAGACAGAGTTTTTTTTTCCAAATTAAATAAGAGTAAAGGCTTTTTAGTACTCCTACTGTTATATATCATATTTCATGAAAAAACTAACCTTTAATGTCTATAAAATAAAGTCTAAATCTTTTTCTTTTTTCTTCTTAACTATGCTTCTTTGCTCTTTGTCATAAAAAACTTTTGGTGTACGTTAGCGTGATAATGAGCTAAGTACGTGAAAATTCTAAAGTGCTTCAATTATATAAATTAATTTTGCTTTTGATTCTAATATTAAAATTTATAAATTTAAGCTACATTCATATTGTTCTCTCTTACAACTACTGCTAAAGTTTTCAGATGAAGAATATCTGTTTATAATCGTACTCATAGTTACTGCTCAAAAAGATGTTGTAAACTATAGACTGTATGTAGATTAAGAGATAATAGTCGAAATCAAAAGACTAGTCAGTGAAAGAATTTAATACAGATGATGATATGAAGTATCTGATACAACGAAATTACCACAACACCCAAAATCGAGACAATATACCTACAAAAGTTCATTTCTAATTTGACCCGACCGGGAATCGTATCCAGGATCTCAGAGACGATGACACTTTGAAATCGGCGTGCAAAAAACTACTGAAGTGGTTTTACCCATTGAAAAAATTAAAATTATGAGAAAATATCGATAAAAATGAATTTTAGAGGTATTTTTTTATAGAGATTATTAAAAAATATATGTCCAGGCAAATATTACATTTGAAATTTACATTCAAAATGCTATATTGATATTGATAGTTGGATGGGATTGATTCTCTAGTTATTAAACTCATTGGTGTAGATAGTCTAAAATTATTTTTAATTATTTACTCACAAACAATAAAAATAGTTATATTCGATATACCTATCAATTCCAATATATCAGTGACGCATGCGTTTTCCTTAGAAATTAAAACTATTAGATGAGGATTTTGAATATCTCATTAAATCCATAACATGTACAAAATGCACAAGAACCGCAACACAGCTTTTCTGCCATAAAAAGTTTGAAATCGAATGTAATCAAACGATTTTAAGTGACTTAAACACTTTTGTAATACTTATTTACAAAGGAGTAAATAATATTTAAAATGTATTTATTTGTATTTTCTATATAGCAGAGCTAAGGTGGTTGTTACAAGTTGGGAAGAGACGAGACTTCACAGATAAAATATAAAATTTCAATTAATGTCACTACCAGGATGTTCACATTGAAAATCATGTAACGCATCGATAAAACGCTGCATTAATATTTCTATCCGTGTCTACTACGTCCGTAAGAGAGTCATGGTGTAGTACAGTATAGTTTGAAACATGAAAAAGATAATATATGGGACGTCTTACCTCACGCCTCCTCTCTTCGTGTCGTAGTTCAACAATCGCGATCCATGTTTCCAGTTGACTTGCCTAGTTGGCTGGGGCACCTCGCTGACGACGCACCTCAGTTCGATTATAGAACCTTCCTTGTAGAATTTATCTTGGAGGGGACGACCGCGCTCATCCACTATCTCAACTTTTGGCACTGTTGAAGGAATATTTACTGTTAATATTTAATCGATTTACGAACTCGTACAATTTTCTAATTTTGACAATATGATAGTGCTTAATGTTTTTGAAATTGTTCTAATAAAGTCTGTTTGACATATGTATAATTGATATTCTTTTATTAGTTCTATTTTTTATATCCTTTTACTTATCATAATTGCTTGTTTACTACTCATTTAAAAACATAAAACAGTTTTAAACACATTTTATCTTTTAATCAAATATTTCTCAGAAATATATAGCACTGAAAGGTCAAATGAAATTATTTTTATTATAACTTTGAGATCAACTAATATTAGTTAATTAATTAGTAATTTAACCGTCATAAAATAGGTTTTTAGGCCAACTTAACTCCCCGCATTAATCACTACCTCGCATACATGTTAAGTGTTTAAACCTTAAGCATTTAACAAATAAATAAAATAAAAGTATTATTGATAACATTTAATAGGTATCATTATATTCCCAAATTTCATTGACCAAATTTCTATAATACCTGCGATTAAATAAGCCTGAAGTAATGTTCGGCGATAAAATCGTCGTTTAATCAATCATACGGCCAATCAAATTAATACGTAGTCCATTGAGCTAAAGCAAAATTGGTTTGGTGGGTAAATCGGTAAGGGTCTTGTTCCAGTGACGAAAACAAAATAAATTGTGATATATGCTAACAAAAATGATAAGCTACTGAATTTTTTACAAATTAAATAAAATTGTAATCAATGATTTTTAGTTAGTTATCTGTATCACATTCCTGCAAAGTTTTTTTCATTTTTATCAACTCAGCCTTTCAATTTCTCTGTAGTAACGAAGAGTAACAAGTACTTGAAAGATTCGTCAGTCCTGTTAGGTCCTGGGTAGCTCAGTGGTTAGAGCAGTCGCCCGGATTGCGAAAGATCGTGGGTTCGAATCCCATTTCAGGGTGCCAGGGATCAAGTGGATTTTTTAAGCATTTTATATAAGAATATGTTTCAGTATAGCATTGTGAATACCAAAATTGACCAAATATAATAATTTCTATTTGTTCCGTTGGTCTTATAAAAAGAAGTTTTGTAGCATCATATAACGAAAAAATTGCATTTATTTATCTTTTATTCGGTGGATATTGACATGAAATAAAAAAGCAATATCATAACTAGAAAAACATGACAATAAAAGCAGAAATTCAATGCAGAATATCTTCGATATCTGATATCTTGTATTGGACTTTCTATTGCTTTTTTATTGGAGCACAATTTAATTTCATCGGGAGTGCTTATCGGAAAACGAGGGCTATCGTTCCTTTCTTAATTTAATTATGGAAACTAGAAAAGGTGAATGGATAGGACTAGAGATATATAATAAAAATCAACGATCCATCTGAACGACTTTATTATAAAGATACCTTGACAGGAGAGCGGGAGAATTTTTCCAACGTGAATTTTTCGCTTATCTTATCAGAAAACAGGTTTTTAGCTGACGGAAAAAAGGAGAGGTCTAGTCGACACGTATTTAGTCAATGCACGAGTTTTAAAGTGGTTTAATTTTGACATATCTATGGCAATTGAAAAAAATATATATAACGTAGTCGAGTCTATGGTTAGGTTTTTATATCAAAATTAATAACTAAAAGTATTTTATATAAACAGATAACAATATTGCGTAGTTTACTTTTGTTGTTTCAAATAACTGAAATTACTATGTATTCAAGAACGTTCCATTGAAGCAAGATGGAGATTGTTAAAGTCATTAATGGCCGCGCGAAATCAATAGAAGTTTCTTGAATATATGAACCACTAAAATCGCATAAGTTTTTTTTAAATAGTAACTTTATGATTGTACATTTATAATGTATGATAAGCGCACGATGTTTATGAATTATGTTGAACCATAAATCAGAATTTAAAACAATCTCAAGACTATAGCATTTTTTATGACTTTGCCCCTTTGTTGTATAAATATAATTACGAGGGTGGTTTGAAAAATTCTCGGCCCGAGCAAGAAACCAAAAAAAAAGGTTTTACTTTCCTACATATTCTCTCTTTGTCTCAATACAAATATATAGGATTTAATAGAGAATCGAGCTGTCGAATGACAATAAATTAGATTACATACTACCCTCAAATCTCGGTCAGGCCGAGAAATTTTCAACCAATCCTTGTAATATTTTATAGCTTATCTTTCTTTATTTCCATAAAATTAATGAATTCATAGTATCATTTAGTTCATTAGTATCTACTAGGTACCTCTGATCTTTTCTAGGAAAATATCATTAGTCAGCTAGTTTTAATTAAATAGCAGTTTCAAACTAAACGAATAAAGGCATGCAGATAAAAGATACTTCTAACGTCTTGAAGGAAAATCTGATCGGATCTTTTTTATTTAAAAAATTGCTTTACCCTCTCGCCGTCGTTTTTTTTTCTAATCATGCATCTTATCTAACTTTATACATAAAATAATTTAATAATGAATCTCAGTACATTTCGCCTCTACATCGAATAATTTCAAAGCTTTGATACTATTTCTGTGTTTACCCGAGATGGGCACAAAAGGAATTCACAGGCCTCCTTATAATAAACATAAAATATTCAAAAAGAATTTTTCATATCAGATTATGTTAAAGAGAATACATTAGATGAAAATAGCATAAGGAAAATGGCTGTTTGTTAGTAATTTCCGACCTAAATGTGGGAGGAAATATGTTTGCGGGTTGTATCGTGAAATATAATTACTGTATAAATGAAATTCACTTTATAGGACTTTCAAATTTAAATGCTGCCCTTTTAAAATTTCATTTGTGATTTTCATACAGGAGAAACGACTGCTTATAAATTTTATTATCTAATAGAATGAGCAAGTGTTGTTATTTTTATTCGGAATTGTTATTTGTCTTCTACAATGCTAATAAAAAAATCCCTTTAGTCCAATGCCAAATGCATAAATACGTATGGACCGTAAATTTTCAAGGACTCACTTCTACCATATTTGTGGAATACATCGAATGCTATTTTAGAGCCTGTCAACTAATACATTTCTTGTAAAATTGAAGCAAAAACGTACATATCTAATAGCTTTCTATTAACTGACTGACTAATTAGAATTTATTTTATTTCACCAAGGCATCGTCGCTATTGTTCTCCAGAGACTTCGCCTGCGATAATTGGCTACTTTTGTTGTATTACTGTTTTGGAAAAAGTATTTTTAATATTTCACATGATCATATTAAACCACTATTTATTTTTCTCCAAAAATTTGTAATTAAATAAAGAAAGAAAGACTATTTTTATTAATTAAAGTGACATTTCGAGTCATGACGTTACAATTCAATAAATAGAATTACGCTGCACTCGCAAGAAAGACGTTGCTATTCTCCATCATGGTCGCCAGCGTTTTAAGAGTACGATATAAGTATACCTATAGGTTCACTCTAGGTTTCGCTTTCGCCTGTCACGTATCCAAAAGAAATAAATCTAGAAAAATAAATAAAATTGGAATGTTTGTTAATGCATATGTACATATACTATCACTTTTTTCATTTTTTGTCTGTTTGTCCCGGCTAATCTTTGAAACGGCTGGACCTATTTTGACGGGACTTTCAATGGCAGATAACTTATGCAATAAGGGGTAACTTAGACTACTTTCCGCGCGAACGAATCCACGAGCAGAGCTAGTTTATTAATGAATGTTAAATGAAAATATGGAGTATTGAGTCAGAGATACAGTTACATTAATTTTAACAAGTACCTAATGTACACTTGATATTTTTTTTTATATTGTGAAGTTTTCAAACAAACAGAAGACCCATTGTATCGTTATCGTAATTTAGACAAATTAAATGAGTTTCCGAGATTTTCAATTTTATTTTTGAAAAGCTTACGTAAAATCAAAATAACTGTTTTTTTTTGTGAAATTGTGTGGCTGCTAAGCTCACAGAGGAAAGGGACAAATCGTTTTAAAGGAAAAAGTAAGACGGCAGTTAAACGATGCAAAACTGCATCGTCTGCTGACCCAAATTCGGACGCACCAACGTGCGTCACAAGTAAAGTGCAAATGTAGCATAAGTTAGCTGTAAAATTATTAATATAGTTAAATCAGTCTTTGTAGAATATTCAGATAATAAACTTGTAATTAAAATAAATAAATATTTTTTTTATAAATTAACTGCCGTCGTAAACTTAACTGGCGCAGTCGGTAGGATCGCGACACTCGGGTTACGAATAAAACTCTTCGTTAAAGAGTGAACGGTCTTCATCGTTAATTTCGCGAATCCCTTATCAAGAACCTACGTACGGCGGCGGTCACCGTGTTCCTGTGGGAGTTCCGGAGAATTGGGAGTCCCGCTACATTCTACGAGACCCGGCTGGAGATGCAGAGAATATTTGGGTGAGTACTTATTGTTATCCCAGTATCCTTTGCTCGATTTCCTGTCGATATTTATTATAATAATTAGTGTGTGTTCTTATCAGTGAGCTAGAATCGCCATAGGTAGGAATCGCGTTACTAAAAAGTAGGAAATAGCACTATAGAGTTATTTATAGGTACTTACTATCAGTATCATATTAAATCTAGCTATTAACGACGCTCAAATCGCATTAATAGTTTGTTAGTAGTATTATACATAGTTAAGCCCGCGGACTTACTCGTATTACTCTTATAAATATTAAATCTTTTTATCAACGCTCAAATCGCATTGATAGCTTACTAGTAGTATTATACATAGTTAAGCACGCGGACTTACTTCTATTACTCTTTTTATTTTTACTAATTTTATTTTTACTTATTTTTTTTATTAATTTATACGCATCATGGCACTATCAGGTGAAGACCTAACTAACCTAAAATTCATAGGTGACCTCGTACCGCGTTACGATGGCAACCCCAAAACATTAAACTATTTTATTAGAGAAGTAGAAAATGTGCTCTTATTATTGGACCCACCAATAAGGGTACACCCAGCACTCACGTGCTTATTAAAGAGTAAGCTAAGTGGCACCGCGA